TTTTTGTCATTGTTGAAGGCCTTACGATTGTCTACAAAAAGCATTTGTCTACATGACGGCAAAAAGCTCTACAGAGCTTATGTTTGTAGTATTTCATGTTACCCGACTTAAAATAAATTTTTCTTATCTTATCTTATCTATAATTGCTTACATCCACTTCATATTTGAACTCCGGTGGATAGTTGCCTTATCAGCAATCATATTCCATCTCTTCATTTTATATTATATACGTGACTTCTAAACTAGTGTTTTCCTGAACAAGCACGAAATAATTTTCACTGGGCGTTAAAATTAGCAACAAGCAAAAAATACCAGAAATGGACTTCTTCTGGCTCACTTCCGAAGAACAAAAAAAAAAATAACGCATCCCATTGATATGTTTTAAAAACGCCTTGCCCCTACCCTTTTTTCCAAAATAAATGGCATTATTGAATATATAAACATATATATAATCATCAAATTGGTTTTTGGTCAAAAAAAAGTTTTGTTTAATTAACATCGATTTTAAGTTTTTTTTATCCTACATTGAACTTTTGATGTCGTCCCTAATGTGCAAAAAACAGATAAGGGGCGGGACCAAACCTATAGATAACATAATAAAGAAATGATGAAATATACAGAATACGTTGATTGACTTTTGGTTGCCTCACACACACACCATAACCATTACTGTCAATACTTGCATATATACATCTCTATACAAATATCTAAATTTGAATCTACTCCCCCCCTCCAATCTAGACACCGTATTTTTGGATCCGCCCCTGTTAAATGTGTCTAATTATATACATTTTGTACGGGTCTAGATAATAGCTAAACGTACAATCATATAATTTGTTGGATACCTAATTATATTATATAATGTGTCACAAAATAAACCTTTTATACCCCCTTCCCAATGCAGTATTGAAAAGTAAATCATTTAAAAGTCCTGAAGATGAAATATGTTTTGAAATATGCCCTGCATACTTATTTATGCAAAGACAATGTGTAGACTGTAGGAGAGTTTCTTCAGAAAAGGTTTTCATTGGAGGTGTTTTTGCCATGCACGCAGGCATCTTTTTCTATTAATGAACAAGTTGTGTGTCAAATTAATTATTATTACTTGTCACTCGCATTTTTGCTCGTCCTGGTCATCATTGGCATTAACAGCCAGTGCACAAATTCGCACGAACGCCAAATTTAGTTATAGGGGCGGTATTCTGACGCGTTTTTTAATTCTTGGTCACCCATGTTTAGAAAGAAAGGGGAGAAATCCAAACAATTACCGACCAATCACAAACGTTGTTGCAAATTTGACCTCATGACGCCAAAGAATTTCCCATAACGCAATTATTGCATATAAATAAAAAACTACTATACCAATTGAATAAAAAATATTGCATTCAAATGACATTTTATACCAATTGAATAAAAAATATTGCATTTGAACGAAAATTATACCATTTGAATGAAAAATTATACCATTTGAATGAAAAATTATACTATCTGAATAAAAAATATTGCATTTAAATGAAAAAATATACCATTCAAATAAAAAAATATTGCATTTAAATGAAGAAATATACCAATTAAATAAGAAATATTGCATTTAAATGGAAAATATCAAATTTTTGCAACCAATACCATGCCATATATTAAGTTACAAAGTTGTAAATTTCATACAACTGTTTCTATCAATGGTGTAACATTGTTACACCATTGTTATTGTTACACCATTGTTATTGTTACACCATTGTTACATTGATAAAATAAATGCTCATGACAAGAGTTTCAATATTATTATTTTCATCACATAAGTGACATTTTCCGTTTGACATATGCATTATTTGCAGTCTGTTTTCAGTATATATAATCCTGTGTATACATAATATTCCATTGCAATTCTTTAACCTTTGTATTAATATCCATTTTACTGAGATTTAGCCAATATTTTCCCAATTTATATACTCGCTATACAAATTTTCCCATTTTGTTTGACACTTTGGTGTCTTAGTTATGTTTATGTTTAGCTGAAGATATTTTAATGTCCAATCTTTAATTTTAAAATTATCTGGATTTAGAAATTCAAAGTTTTCAGAAATTTTGATTTTGTGGCTTTTTTAAGTGCGTGAAACATCTTTGTTTTTTTTAAAATCTGCATGCATGTTTGTGGTATGGAACTTTTAATTCGCGAGTATTCCGAAATACAATTACGTTTATCTATTAGTTGTTGATATATTTCATTGCACGATTTAAAATCTTTGGTATTATCCTCCCATATATCACCAATTCGACTTTTTGAAAAAGAAGAATAAAATAAAGATTTGCCCTGAAATAAAATATTTGAGTTTCCAAATAACCGCTGTTTCTTTACGTCCATTTTGTTAAACATACCCTGTGTGATCCCTGTCAATTTTGACCACGATTGTAAAGCGCTTTTGTAATAATGTGGTAGGGTTTTGATATCAAGACCTGAAAGGTCAGAACATCTACACAGAAAAAGTTTATCGGCAAATTTCTTATCAAATCTTTTAACCAAAATTTACCTATTGCATTCCAACTAGATAATGGCTTGTGTAATATCGGATGATGTTTTAATTTTAGCCCAAAACGATGGAGAAATCTTATATATAGTTTTTACTGTCTATTAGAATTGGTTAATGTGACAACTACCTGTGTTTTTCTGTTGTTGGTTAATTGAATATGAGTAAACCCTATCAATAAATATGAAAAGGGACAAGTTATATTTTCTCATAGCTTGGCGTCTGTCGTCCGCAATCGTCGTCCGTTAATTTTACAAATATCTTCTCCTCTAAAAAATACTGTGCCAAATCTAAGCAATCTTGGACACAATCCTCATTGGGGTATCTAGTTTTACAAAAGTGTCCGATGACCTTACCTGCCAACCAACATGGCCGACATGGCTAAAAATAAAACATAGGGGCAAAATGCGAGTTTTGTCATTTATCTAGAAAACCGTTATAAATAGAGAAAATATGACAAGGGGCAAAAAAGTTCTGATTGTGGAGATATTTAAATTGAAACTGTCAGACGACTTCTTACGGGAGTTATTGCACATAAATGACTAAATTTGCAATTTTGTTTTCCATTTTGCTTATTTTTTGATAACTATAAACAAGAAACCTTAGACAGCAAAAATGATCAGCAAGACAAGATCTACAAATACATTATTGGCCAATAATTGTCAGACGACACCTTATTGAAGTTATTGCCCTTTAACGCCGATCATTACTATTTTCAGCGTCAATTGTCAGACTCATCCACTGCGGTAAATTCAGCACTGTCCAGACAATTAGCTTGCAGTCAATTAAGATTTGTTCAGTATAAGTTTAGAAGTTGTAATTTACCTGTACAAACCAACATCATGCTCAATTGTCGTAAAAGCTACTGAACAGTACTGATTTAATTGCAAACGAATTCTCTGAACAGTACTGAATTTACTGCAGTGGATACGTCTAAAAATTTTACTGAAAGACTGAATATGCCTATTATTCAAACTTTTCAGATGATGTTTAGATCAAAATGACCGTTTCAGACTAAAATTTATTTACTAGTGTTCGAGAAAGTTACCAATTTTAATCTTCTTGTCTCAACGGGTAATCGGTGACTACCGCATCTAAATTTATAGGATATAAATAAAAAATCATTTAATAAGATATTGGATTTATTCACCAAATCTGTCTTAAAATTCTTAAGTTTTTGTCCCACACATATACTACCCATTTGTCGCAAAACTACATGTCCCAAATTTTTGATATTCCACAGTTATCTAAACTATGTTGTATGAACATGTATATAAACCATTTAATTTCAAGATCATATTTTAACAACTTGCAATTGTAACGTAGGTGTGAAATTTTGTTCTCTTTAATGTTCCTAATTTTCCCCCAGGCATTTTTCATTTGAAATTTTGAATAGAGAATTTTCAGAATTGTATATATTCTACTGGGCAACTATCAATGTTATTATTGTAGGGGACACTAGTAGTATATGTTTTGAATATTGTCTTTACCGCCCAAATATTGTCTTTACCGCCCAAAGCGTCCTATCTAAGAAAAACATCATAACTGGTGGTGACGCAAAATCAAATGTATTGTGCGGAAGAACATTGTAATTTTCAATCACTTAATATAAAAATAAGAAAATGTGGTATAGTGCCAATGAGACAAGCAGAGACCAAATTTTGCGGATGATAGAAACTGTTGGTCACCGTACGGCCTCCAGCAATTACCATTACCTATATCGTATAGTTAATCCTATTCTACAATTGTGTAATTTCACACGGACCTTATCTACATTTTTGTAAACTGCTTGTGATTCTATTTCATTACTTATGTATACGTACTAGTAATGAAGAATATATAATTTATTGTCCATGACCTGTAAAATCCATTTAACCATAGCTTAACATTTATCATCTTCGCTAGCCAATGGTTACGACCCAGTCCCCTCCTCTCAACCCTTGGCGGATTGAGATAGAATTTTGGATCCACGAGGTAATTATTTTCATTGGTCGCAGTTGTAACTGGCTGCATCCAATCAAAAAGCGCCTTAAAGATGATCAAATGTTAATGTAGAAAATGTAAATAAACAATTGCCACGTGTAATCTTTACTCCCAAATCATAGGACGATAGGTAGTGACAATTCTTAATCAACAAATTAAAGTTCCCGGATATTTTTCTTGAGTAAATGTTGGAATGTCAACTTGTATTTTCAGTTCCCGCTTCACGAAATTTGTAAACACTACAGACAACAACATATAATGGTTTTGTCCTTTTTTTTTTTTTTTATTTTTGCTATCTTATCTTATCTCATCCTTGCTTCCATAACTGATATTATAACATTTCTGTAGGGAAAAGTAAGCGAGTAAGTAAGTAGGTAACTAAGTACATTTTGTTTAGAGTCGGTACATATATACAATCAACCATTAACATAAACTTAAGAAATCTCATACAAATAACTTTAACATATATATACAAATATACAAACAAGAAACTCAAAAGAAATAAGTCGATTTTAATAGCTCAAAAAAAAAAAGATAAGTCATTTCAACCAATGAAATATTTCAATGAACACATCAACAGATCGTGGGAACTTTTTGATTCCAAGCTTCATTCCTTTCTGGTTTCCCCAAGTATCAACAAAATCTAAAGAAAAAGAACAGGTTCGTAAATTAAGAGCTTTCTATACTACTGCATTGAAGAGAAGTGATGAATTAGTCTGAAATATACGTCTGTATATCTCTAGTAGAACAGGTGATCAAAATTCCCATATTTATTTTGATTAAGCAAACTCTGTTTGGCGGTTGTCTTTTTTGAAGTTCTTAGCACAACGTCTAAAATGAATAAAATTCATTCTATAAGGTAGATGTGTTTGTGTCGCTTTCTTGAAGCTTGCTTTTAGTGTTCTAGCTTGCAGCATTAAAGTCCCGATATATTCCGATCTTGCTTAGAAATATGTTAAAAGATAGAAAACAACCAAGCTGTATAGAATATAAAGTAAATTGATTTTTTTTTATATATAAGATGAAATAGATTGGGCACCCGACCCTCAAATATAAAAAAAAACAACAAAAAATTGCATTTTGAAAAACCAAAAATTAACAAACAAACAAATAAACTAACAAACAAGAGACCCCCACCAAAAAAAATGTCTTGCTTTTTACTTGCCTCATCTGTGTTATCAACTGATTTGTTTATTGGAAGCGTTCCATTAGGCTTGATAATCATATCATCGATAAGATGAGTTTCAGTTGACTTAATATATTTTCTGTCTGAAATGAAATATTCAGTTTCAATCAAGAAGTTATCACTTTTTAACTAAGTTAAAAATATTAATAGACGTAATGCATAAAATGAAAAATTCTGCTCGGATATTCATATGTATGCTGGCATTAATGTACTCCACTTTTAGCTTTAGAAGTGGGGCCATAGGAGCAAAACTAAAGGAAATACATGTAAACACAGAGTCACATAGTGTAGGGACAGGATTAATGATGCTGCCCATATAGATGCACCACAATAGGTTGAAATGCATTATCGGAGAATTTACACTTCCGCTTTCTGACCATTTCCTGAATAGTCCATAGTTTAAAAAAATAAATGATAATTACACCAATGGTACCAATTGTACTGATATAGATGCGCATATATATATATATACATATGTTTTCAATTTAGACTTGTTTATATATATATATTTATATATACTGTTTATCTGACTAACGTACTAATCATTGAGAGTCGGCTATAATATCGATATAATTTGATAGAATTAGTAAAACTGATTAAATTTTTAGATACACTAGTTTGTCAGTGTATGTGTTGATATTCTTGTGAACAACATCCCAAGAGTAATGTTTAACTGTTTCATATAAATATATATCTCTTTCTTGACAACCAATTCGTCAAATAACTTGTCTCATTGGTATCTAAACCCTATCCCCCGCTTATTTCAAGGTAATATATTATACAACAAACAAATGATATTGCCGTACAATAGCTAATTATAAAAACTTTTAATTTTCAGTGATGAAAAACTTACGTTGATCTTTTTTATCTTTTTGCCTGCTGATAGACCACATGATAAAACAGCAGGTTTCAGAAACCTGAAAACTCTGCTCTTCTTCACTTTTTACTGTAACCATTTCTGAATCTAAAATCAAACTGTTATCTTCAAAATGTACGGAAATAAAAAAAACCACCTGTCTATTGGTGAAGACTGATTGTTACTTTCTTCATGTCTTTCTGGATAATTGAGTCTTTTGATTGCTGTCAACTTGACATATACCCCACCTCCTTTCATTTAAATTAATTACAATGATGAAAAGCATTCACAATACAAAATTGGTTTAGGTCGATCATTTTGATGAACTGTAATTTTACAGAAAATTATCGCTACAATGATATTTTATGTCAGCACAGGACTCAACTGCATGGGTTGTTGAACATATACCTATGGGGATTTAGCTGTTTTAGTTTAGAATTATGGAAATGCTTCATAACTAGATCAACGGCAAATTGGTCTATTGGCGACATTCTATGATAATTATTTTTAACCAACCTTAGTCAGTTCAACTATTTGTTTACTCAAATTGAGTTTTTTCTTTGTATCTTCTGGCTTTAATGTCTGAACAGTTGTATCCCCTAGAAGACCAGGCTTGTCACGTTGGTTAAATAATCATTATATTTTATCTTTATTGTGTTTGTTGAATGAAAAAAACCACTCACCTGTAACTGTCCGCTGATTGAAAGACAAAGGGCATATAGTTTTACAGCAGATAACAGAATCAAGAGTAATGTGTTTGTCATTATCCTTGGATCTAGCTGAAATGAGAGATCTCAATTATTTAGATCAATTTTCTGTGGATCATTTAGGGGTCAACAACAACAACAACAACAGCAACACCGACACTATGATTAACAATTTAGATGCACCTGAGGTCAAACCTTGGATTATGGAGGGTTCGTGTTGCTTACTCATTATTTGTCTGTGTTATATATTATAAACTGTAACAGTTGTTTGTCTTTTCGATATTTTTCATTTTGGCTACGGTACTGTCTCTGTTTCTTTGATTAAGGCTTTGGTATTGTCCCATTGGTATAGTGTGCCTTTTTGTTACTTTGAAGGTTGGTCTTAACTTGCGTCAAGTCTTAGAGTGTGTCTGTATAATAATGTATACTAATGTTATGCAAGCGAAAATGGACAACTGCAGTGTATGCATGATCATATCATCTATGAAATATTACAATGTTACGAGAACGCAAGTCGTTGTAACGGGAAAAATATTTAAGATTGAGGAATTAAATATAAAAAAACACGAATTTATGAAATAGAATAAATATACATTAAAAAACAATATTTATCCCGTAAATTTGAAAACCATGAACAAGAACACATTTTTACGACATGTTAAAAGAATATCTCCAAATGACATAGGTCTGTCAACTGATTATATAGTAGAATTTTGTTCAAATATTTGCATTCTGCCTTCAAAACGTCTTGCTTTTAGGAAAAACATCCATAGCTGCCAAAACTAAGTCATTTCTAGATATCCTTTTGATAATCAGATAGGAATATACATTTGGCTACTTAATTTTTGATAAAAAGGTCATCGTTATAAGTCAAATATATCTTAGATAATACCATTTATTGTTTGCCTATATGAACCTTTTTGTCAAAGAAACCAAACTGTACATGTATGCACTGCGTTGCAAAGACCAAATTTTGCTTTTCATTGATTTAATTTATTAACAATTTCATGGGGTTTGGGTGGCAAATAATGCATCTTTTCATAACTATCCTCATCTCCTTACCAACAGATGACCTAGATCCAAAATCGGGATTTAATATATCTGGCTTTCAAGGGTATTTTTTTTGAGAATATATAGCATGTTAATTTTGGGCTTGTCCTGGTGAATTCGTGGGTCATCATGATTTTGGATTGCCTCATAATTTACCAACATTGTTATATTCCTTTTTTCTTTAACCATCTTTCAGCCATAAAATGCTTGATCTTACCTGTTACTATTTTGAATATGACAACCGATACTGAAAAAGAGATAAAAATATTTAGTCTACTTTTTTGAAACAAAAACATAACTATTTCGTGCCACATATCTACATACGGAGTACATGTCTCCCAGTTGATCCGATATTCCAGGGCTTGTTTTTTCTATCATGATTTCATTGATATAGGGTTGCTGCTCACAAGGAAGCTATTAGACCAAGAGTTTCAAGTGGTGAAGTGGAAATCATCCCTTCGTAAATTTTAAGGACGTCATCACGAGTTGGTTGACCGTTATGGAATATCTGTTTCACAGATGACAACGGATATGTACCAATTGTCGTATCTATAATCTCGTCCCCTTTTCCCCGAATGTGACCTACCAAACTAGACATATCACCGGATTCGTACTAACATTATCAACGCAACAAGACAAGGTTCGTGTTACTTAGTCTAGTTTTCTATGATGTGTTTTGCGTACTGCAGTTTTTCTGTTGGTCATGGTGTTATAGCCATGGTGTTATCAGTTTATTTTTGACTTATGAGTTTGAATGTCCCTTTTGTATCTATCGTCTCTCTTTTTCATCTACAGTTTTTTTCATATGTTTTGTAAAATTTGATTTCTAAAACTATCTTGCATAGGTGTTTTGTACCTGATATGTTTTGCTCGTTTCGATTCTCTCTAATTTTTAATCGTCATCTAAATTGATTGATGAAAGTATAATATTCAGCAGATATTCGTAGATTCGTATACATGTGTATTTAAAACAAATACTAATAGGGATTGGTTCCATTGGATAATTTCAATCGTCTTTAAAAAGAAAGGCGAGAGATACTAATTTTGTTGTTTGTCTTTGTTTGCAATTATGTTAATAATATTTAAATTCAAGTAATTACAATCATGATTAAATATTCAGCATCTGCAAGTAATCAGGTAAATTGTCAAAAATATAATGTGTGGTTATGTAAGACTTACAATATAATATTGCACACACAAGAACAGCTATCAACACTGCATATATACTTTGAAATTTGTACTCTGTAAAATATAAAATTGTATTTGATGTTTACATCAAGTACACGAACTTTATAGTAAGTTAATGAAATGAGTGATTATCATTTTGTGTTATCAAAACTTACTAATTAAAATAAAGATCCATCAAATTTGCAGGGCTTATAATTTTGTACGTCTGACAGAGGCGCGTTTCGTCTACATAAGAACCATCAGTATACTCGAGTGTCATTTTTCTTTGTTGACATAGTTGTTTGTTTTTAGCTCACCTGGCCCAAAGGGCCAAGTGAGCTTTTCTCATTACTTGGCGTCCGTCGTCGTCGTCGTCGTCGTCGTCCGTCGTCGTTAACTTTTACAAAAATCTTCTCCTCTGAAACTACTCGGCCAAATTTGACCAAACTTGGCCACAATCATCATTGGGGTATCTAGTTTAAAAAATGTGTCCGGTGATCCGGCCAACCAACCAAGATGGCCGCCATGGCTAAAAATAGAACATAGGAGTAAAATGTAGATTTTGGCTTATATCTCTGAAACCAAAGCATTTAGAGCAAATCTGATGTGGGGTAAAATTGTTTATCAGGTCAAGATCTATCTGCCCTAAAATTTTCAGATGAATCGGACAACCCCTTGTTGGGTTGCTGCCCCTGAATTGGTAATTGTAAGGAAATTTTGCCGTTTTTGGTTATTATCTTGAATATTATTATAGATAGAGATAAACTGTAAACAGCAATAATGTTCAGCAAAGTAAGATCTACAAATAAGTCAAATTGACCATAATGGTCAGTTGACCCCTTAAGGAGTAATTGCCCTTTATAGTCAATTTTTAACCATTTTTCGTAAATTTTTGTTATCTTTTACAAAAATCTTCTCCTCTGAAACTACTATGACAAATTTAACCAAACTTGTCCACAATCATCATTAGGGTATCTAGTTTAAAAAATGTGTCCGATGATCCCGCCCGCGAACCAAGATGGCCGACATGGCTAAAAAATAGAACATAGGAGTAAAATGTAGATTTTGGCTTATATCTCTGAAACCAAAGCATTTAGAGCAAATCTGATGAGGATAAAATTGTTCATTAGGTCAAGATCTATCTGCCCTGAAATTTTCAGACCAATCAAGCAACCCGTTGTTGGGTTGCTGCCCCTGAATTGGTAATTTTAAGGAAATTTTGCCGTTTTTGGTTATTATCTTGAATATTATTATAGATAGAGATAAACTGTAAACAGTAATAATGTTCAGCAAAGTAAGATCTACAAATAAGTCAACTTGACCAAAATGATCAGTTGACTCCTTAAGGAGTTATTGCCATTTATAGTCAATTTTTAACCATTTTTCGTAAAATTTTTTAATCTTCTGCAAAAATCTTCTCCTCTGAAACTACTAAGACAAATTTAACCAAACTTGTCCACAATCATCATTAGGGTATTTAGTTTAAAAAATGTGTCCGATGACCCCGCTTGCGAACCAAGATGGCCGACATGGCTAAAAAATAGTACATAGGGTAAAATGCAGTTTTTGGCGCATATCTCTGAAACCAAAGCATTTAGAGCAAATCTGATGAGGATAAAATTGTTCATTAGGTCAAGATCTATCTGACCTGAAATTTTCAGACCAATCAGGCAACACTTTGTTGGGTTGCTTCCCCTGAATTGGTAATTTTAAGAAAATTTTGCAGCTTTTGGTTATTATCTTGAATATTATTATATAGATAAAGATAAACTGTAAACAGCAATAATGTACAGCAAAGTTAGATCACAAATAAGTCAACATGACCAAAATTGTCAATTGACCCCTTAAGGAGTTATTGCCCTTTATAGTCAATTTTTTACAATTTTCATAAATTTTGTAAATTTTTGTAAATTTTTACAACATATTTTCCACTGTAACTACCGGGCCAAGTTCATTATAGATAGAGATAATAGTAAGGAGCAAGAATGTTCAGTAAAGTAAGATCTACAAACACATCAACATCACCAAAACACAATTTTGTCATGAATCCATCTGTGTCCTTTGTTTAATATGCACATAGACCAAGTTGAGCGACACAGGCTCATTAGAGCCTCTAGTTTATAGATATTAAGATAATAACACAATGTTGACTGTTGTACTCCAATTTTTGACATCTTCACCTATTATGTCTGTGTTTTGCTCACACATTGTTGTGAATATAATGGAATTTTACGCGACTTTCTTTCATACAATGAGAGGTTTAGCTAGCTATAAAACCAGGTTAAATCTTCCATTTTCTACATAAGGAAATGTCTGAACCAAGTCAGGAATATGACAGTTATTTTCCATTCGTTTGAGGTGTTTGAGCATTTGATTTTGCCATTTGTTAAGGGACTTTCCGTTTTGAATTTTCCTTGGAGTTCGGTATTTTTGTTATTTTACCTTTTCGAATCAAAAGTTGAAAGGCCAGATCACCATCCCTCAGAAAATGACGCATCAAAACTACGGATCGAATAAGCATGACAATTTAATATCAACGTCAGGCATCACGGCAGTTGTCACTAATTCTATTTTTTTGTTGGGAATGTTGTTTAATTTGATCGTCTAAATGGAAATGTTTGAAAATGGACTGTAGATTGATTACGAAATAGAACAGGTTATAAGGTTAACATACATGCCCATTAGTTTATCGTTGAAGATAATATATAATTCTTATGTATATTTGGGTTAACTCGTCTTCTTGAATAACTGTCTCATGGATGTTTATTCAGGTCTCCATTCATTTTTATAAATTTTTATACGAATTAATTTTCAAACATTTTCCTATCTTTTCTAGTATAATTAGATATATTGTTATTGTTATTATCATCATCATCTTTATTTTTATAATTATCATAGAATGATATTAAGTTATTGCATCAGGTTTTTTCAATACTGATGGTTGTATAAAGTTTGTTTACTGCTTGGTTACAACTGTGTATCCATGTTGAGCTAACAAAAGGCAGAAAAGGGAGACATTTATTTAACAAACGAAATCATTGAATTGGGTTACAGTAAGGAGGACAGCAACACACAGAACTAAATTTACCTGATTTTTTACTTAATTCTTTGCCTTTATCTGTTTGACTAGAAAAGACAGAATACATAAATTCAGTTACAATTCCTGTGAAAGAAGGTGTCCATGATAAAGGATAGAGTTTACACTATATTTACATACTTTATTACATATAATAGTCGCTGCCCATGAGAGATTCGACAAATGCTCGTATTCATAGGGTACCTACTGTACATACTAAAACATTCAAGGTCTATACTGTCTCATTCATTTTACATTTTCAAATAAAAAAACAAGATAAAAAATAAGTTATTGTGGACACGAATATGTACCAGTACATTGAGCAGAAATATGGACAGTGGGACAAAAGGGAAAAGGAATTTGTACACACGACTTTAAAACCGGGAAATGGATTTTTATGTACAGTCCCAATTCAAACCATATTTTTTTGTTCACAAATATTCATTGATTCATACCTTTCCTTTTCTTCAATCCCTTCCAACAAAACACCTTTCAAAAAGGGTGTTTTGTTGCCATTTGGCAGTTTAATTAGTGTTACTTGTTTTTATCATTTTACTCTTGAAAATAGTTTTTCTTTTCATTATAAGCAATTGTTTTATCTCTCATGAGCACTTTCCAATTGCCCCTCAAATACGATTTTGGAAACAATCACCGAGTTCTTGGTAATTACGGGATGACTCGAATGAAAGCTGTATATATTTTTTATATCCTTTTATAAACGTGATGTTCACTAATATGTGAATACTTATAAATTCTAGTGCATTGCAATTTACAATTTCTTTAAGTTTAAGCTTGCATTAAGAAAAGCATAATGCCTATATTTGCTAACATCCACTTCATTTGAACTTTAGTGGATAGTTATCTCATTGGCAATCATACCACATCTCCTTATTTTTATAAAGAAATATAAAACTATGATAAGCAAATGATAAATTTAAAAAATCACGAAATTCAATAACACCATAGCACAGATTAGGGAAAGCTTATTGGTAAGAAATATGAATAAATACAATGAAATAAAATAAAAACAAATTCATAACTTTTTTTCAGATATGATTATCATTATGAACACCATTGGTTGATGAAAACAAAATGCAATATATTATTTAAATGATCTTACTTGACCAAGAGTCCGCCTATTTTCCTATTTAGAAAATGCACATTTGTGGTAATTTCCGATTCCTGATCTGAAAATAAATATGATTATTTAGAATATGTTACTAGTAATCTTCTAAGATAACATAACATGCGTATCATATTCAACAATAGTAATATTAAAGAATCAGACGATACTAAATGAGATTTATAATTTTGCCGCATGATTAGTAACCACGCATGCCTGTACACCGGATATTGCTGTACATTGTAATAATTTCGTAATAATCTGGCAAAGAGTGTATGCATGAGAGCGCATACAAAACTTGACGTACGGTTTCACGGACAGATAGACGCTCAGTCTTCCGTTGTTAGCTGCATCGCGTTGCGGCCGGGCACACTTATGAATGGTCGCCGGCGACACAGATCATCACGATCAACAAACCTATCGTTTTTTTTAGATCTGTTAATCACTAACATCAAAAATGCAGAAATACTACATCAATTCTACTAGGCTGTACTACTACGTGTATGCACATTAATAAGGGAATAATTACCAATGCTTGGATGAAAATATATGAAGCATTCACCTACATGTTGTTTTACAGATTATAATGCAGAAAGTTCTCTTCAACTAAATACATTATGTCAAAAAATTGAAATTTGGTTGTGGTCAACAAAAGTTAAAAGTTCAATACAAATACCTTGTCATAATAGTAACAATTAGTATATTGCAATAGCCATATAAAGTGAAGTTCAATCGATTACTTGCCTATTCCTTCCCAAATGCAAGTGCAGTTTTCAACATCCGGGTTGCAGTATGTGCCATTCTTAGGTTCTGTTAGAAATGTGTAACCATCCGAACAGAAACAGAGATTATCTTCGGTTTTAAGGTTATGTAATAGTTTAGCCTGTCCTTTTTCTGTACAAAAGTTCTTTCCCATTGAACATTTAAAAGCAAATCTATCATTTGATTTGTAAGGAAGTTCTTGGTATCTATTGTTCTCGCATGGGACTGATGTAATTTTCTCGTATTTCGGAGACCACACAGCAAAAGTTCCTATAAACAGTCAATATAGTGAAATATATGAAAGATTTTCGTGGCAAAGTGTTTTCATGATTATTGCGATTATAACAGTTAAAAAAGACTAGATGACCGACCAACATCGCTGCCGTTACTTAGATATAATTGAAAGTAAATTAGGCAACTTTACAGTTGTTTAGTAGAAGTTATCGTGAATATGGGCCAAAAGATTTTAGATCGTAATGTTGTGAAATTGTTTTCTGGACCTTCGGGCACACTAGTTTAACGTAACGTACGCTATTGTTACGTAGCTACATATCTTTAGTATCTTAAAGCATCTAAACTGGCAAGACGTTATTTTCTTTTAAAAGTCTAACAAAATTTTTAAGCTGTCAAAGAACTTTACGAATTCTTAATGTAGCGCTAGTCAATATTCCATATCTGTCAGGTGACCAATACTGGATCCATAATTAGATTTGTCAGAAAAACAAACAAACATAAGAGTATCATACATTTCAGGTTCATAAAAGACATTTGGTCTATATTTCAGCTTAAAATTAGAAAGGCATACACTAGATATCTGTTTTGTTAGATCTTTAATCTTACCATTGACAAACCATTTTGGAGGTTTGCAAATAAAGATTACATCGTTGTAGTCTGGAAGCACAGGTAAGCAGTGGAAAAGATCCAAATTTTCAGGGCAACTTAATTCCGCTACAACGTCAAATTGTTCTCTGTTGGGACATTTCTTAACGAAGCCAGCAATCTGGAGTTTAAAAACTAAAATACTTCAACGGGCACTATGTTATTTAAAAGTATATATAAATGTGCACAAAAACACATAGTCTATATAAATGTTTTATTTATTTTTTTATTTATTAATAAAGATTGTTTTAAAGTATTAAGAGAGTGTAAATTGTTAATTCAACTGTTTCAATTTGAGCGCAACTGTAGACGAAACGCGCGTCTAGTGTATACAATACATAAGCCTGGTATACTTGAGATGAGTTTTTTCTATAAACGTATCGGTGTCTATTTCCCTGTACCAAGTCAGGAATATGACAGTTGTTTTCCATTCGTATGATGTGTTTGAGCTTTTGATTTTGCCATTTGATTAGGGACTTTCCGTTTTGAAATTTCCTTGGAGTTCGGTTTTTTTGTTATTTTACTTTTTCCTTGTCACTCAAAATTCAGAAATTGCGAGTATGCAAGTGATAAAGGATATGTCAAATGTGTCTAAAGTTATATAACAAAAAGAGATACTTACAAGGACTACATGTATCGCAAAGACTAGAAAAGGAATCCAGTTCATTTCTATCTTTAAACTTGAAAATAACAAATTCACATTAAAAACAACAAAAGTTTTGTAGAATAAGAAATGAGTATGCACAACTGGGTTGTTCGAAGTTATCTGCATATAACGATAAAGTTTTAATTTTCACTGTAAACTGAAAGGCATATTTCCTGTATTGCTTCAACTTCCTTGTGAACAGGAAGGGGATACACGTTGAAGTTTTTTAGAACTGTATTCATATAATAATTTTTCTTAAAATTGACACAAAAAGGAATTAAGTTCATTTCTATCCTTTAACTTCACATTAAAAAGAAAAAAAGTTAATATAGAATAAGAAATGAGTACGCCCAATAAGGTTGTTCGAAAAGAGAGGGACGAAAGATACCAGAGGGACAGTCAAACTCACAGATCGAAAACAAACTGACAACGCCATAGCCAAAAATAAAAAGACAAACAGACAAATAATAGTAGAAATGACACAACATAGAAAACTAAAGACTAAGCATCACGAACCCCACCAAAAACTGGGGGTGATCTCAGGTGCTCCGGAAGGGTAAGCAGATCCTGCTCCACATGTGGCACCCGTCGTGTTGCTTATGTTATTACAAATCCGGTAAATAGTCTAATTCGGTAGGTCACATTCGTGAAAAGGGAACGACATAAGGAACATATCCGATAGCATCTGTGAAACGGTTATTCCATAACGGTCAATCAACTCGTGATGGTGTCCGTAAAATTTACGAAGGGATGATTTCAACTTCACCATTTAGAACTCTTGGTTAAATAGCTTCCTTGTGAGCAGCAATCCTCTATCAAGGATATCATGATAGGAAATACAAGCCCGGGAATATCGTATCAATTGGGAGATATATACTCCGTATGCAGGCGCTGCTGGAATGTTGCTACATAGAAATGAAAAGTTCACATATAACGATAAAGCTTCCATTTTCGCTGTAAATTGAAAGGCATATTTCCTGTATAGCTTCAACTTCCTTGTGAACAAAAAGTGGATAGACATTGAAGTTTTAAGAACTGTAGTAATAAAATAATTTTTCTTAAAATTGACAAAAAAAAATTTCAAATTTATCAAAATATAACTGTAACATGTCTCTAGAAATTCTTTCTTTTATTTCATAATATACATTCCACGTACTTCTCTTTTTATAACTTTAAAGAGATGTGATATAATTGCCAAATAAGACAACTATCCACCGGAGACCAAAAGACTAAGTTGTAAGCAGAAATGTACATTTCCTTTAAACAGAATTGGCAGTCAGTAGCGACTACCATTATAATATTTGCGTTAACCAACGAGTTAAACCTTTAACTGTGTCTTTAAAAAAAACGTATATTGATCTATGAAATACGATAATAAATACATACTTCCCGTTTTTATGTTTCACATGTTGTCATGGTCGAAGCCTCTTAAATCTGACTATACGGTGTGGTTTAAAATCCACGTCATGCTGAATAGTTGTCTCATTGACAATCATACCACATCTTATTGTTCCCAAAAGAGCTAAAATATCACAACTTCTTAACGAACACAGAGACTTCAAAATTGTTCTGCTCTTTTCTTGGTATTTTACAAGAAGTTGGAATAATGAAGATTAAATGATACATGTATCAAATTTTAGTTATTTTATGCGATAGTTCTTGTTCGAAAACCCTGTTTAACAATAAAGATGCATACAAAAAAAACCCAGAAAATTGAAGAATCAGTTGCCATATTTGGCACTTAATCAAGTTGCAATATTATCCATAATGCAACATCGTCGTGCATCCATGTGCATAGTTTACAAAGAAATACGTATTTGTATATAAAATTGTCTAAAATACCAAAAAGAATTTTATCTCCGACAAAGATAAACTAATTAAGTACAATATATTGAAACTAATCTTACAATATAAGAGTTAAGAACTGCTTCAATATCTTCCATTAACTTTAAAGAAAAATCAAAGTCAAACTGTCTGATTATGTGATTTACAGTGTGTCCTTTTGCGTTAACCAACACATAATCAATAGATGTTAACTTATACGTACATTACAAAATACAAACACGTAATGCTTTACTGACCCGATGTATAAGTGAATGAGTATTGGGAATTTCCCATGCATGACTAACCTTTGCGTTAACCAATATCACGTAGAAACTTTCAACAACAACAATTTTCATCAAACTTAATATTATGGATTATAATTACTAAGTAAACATTCTATGAGCGGTATTGGTTACGAATAAAGTTATTATTATTATTAAGTAAACAGAAATAATCTGTTTTATTATTTTTAAGATTTTAGCTGTTATTCAGCGGTAATTGAATTCTAAATTATGAAAAATGAACTTATCTGTTATTTTAGACTTATCTAAATATTCCATTCCTTGGATAAACTATAAAGTTACTGTCTCTTGAAATTTAACTTACAATAAAGTTATAAACAATATCTTCCTTTACCTTAATGAAAAAGTTAAGTACGAATGTTACCTGATCATGTGACACAATTTGTACTTTTGCGTTAACCAATAAATTGATCAATAGATAAAAAACATTCCAAAAGTTTGCGTAAACCAATTAATTGATCAATAGATGAATAACATACCAAAAATTTGCGTTAACCAATTTGTCGAAAAAAAATCACAATAACTAAATGTTCTATTGATTAAACAATAGGTTATCTTTATTTTCTTTACTATTCCACATTAAAAAATCAGTAATTCATCAATCATTTTATCTTAATGATATTAGCAGTTATCCAGCTTTTCTTGAATTGTAAAATATGTGCAATTATGGTTTATGTTCATAATTCATTTAAGAAATATATATCTGTTTATTAAATTTCAAAAATATCAACAATGCATACATCAGTTATATGACAAAGAGAACTCAATGTAAAACCAAACTCAAATTTACTTACATATAAAGTTAAGAACAAAAATTTCCTTTAACATTCGTATTCAAGTAAAGTAATAGTTTATGATCGATCGTGTTATATAAATTTCAACATTTTGCGTTAACCAACTAAATGTTTAACAAAATCTTAACACCATAACAAAAGTTTGCGTTAACCAATATCTCATAGATGGACGAATAACTACACGTGTTATATTTTCTAGTCAACAAAAGAAACGATACAAAGTTAATTTTTAAACATTTTTTATATTTTTCAATTTAAAGTTTCTGTAATAGTTTATTACCGATTCACATGAGACTCGGTCTAATTAGTCATACGTGGCACGTCACAATGGGATAAATCTGTTAAGGGATTCTCATTGGTAAATATTAGCTTATTTTGTATGAAGCAAAGGCTTTCTATACGTTTGATTAGATAATTTTGGGGTGCATCTTTTATATGTATTCAACGTCAAAAAGCATCTGTTTATTCTTTTTTTCAAAAAAAATTCCGAAACGGACACGATGAAAATTCTGAATGCTACTTTTCCATCCGGGTAATCAAGTTCACCGTGAATCAATGAATAATTGAAATTGTTGGACGTCAATAATTGGGCTACTGCATCAAGTAAACAATTTGCGATCTTAAAATAATGGAAAACAAATCCAGAATTTGATGCCACGGTTACTGCAAAATGAGCACGAACAAGCATTTGGCAACAATAACAAGATCAATACTGGTGATTCGTCTAAGGCAAACTGGCTCAACAAATGATAGACCACAAAGCGGCCGTTCCCATGAGACATCGCAACGTCAATACCTCGCAGCACGTCTTATACACTTGCGCAAACTACATTGAATCCGGAAAATACGGCCCGAGGAATACTTGGTCGTTACAACAACAGAATTTCGTCGAAGACTCAGAGCGCCTGGACTGCGTCCAAGACGTACCCGGAAAGGGCCGCTCATTAAACAGCTTCGTAGGGCCGCAAGACTTGAATGGGCTCGTGCAAGACGACGTTGGAGGTTACACATCAGGTAGCATATCCTGTTTACAGATGAGTCCCGATTTGCTCTCCGTTTTCGTGATCGACGCATGAGCGTATACCGTAGGCAAGGTAAACTTTTATTGGACCCTTGTGTCATGGAAACGGATCGTGTAATGGTATGGGGTGGAATATGTCACAACGGACCCATTAACTTTAAAGAAAAATTAAAGTCAAACTGTTTGATTATGTGACTTACAGTGTGTCCGTTTGCGTTAATCAACACATAATCAATAGATGTTAACTTCTACGTACAGTAAAAATACAAACACGTTATGCTTTACTGACCCGATGTATACGTGAATGAGTATTGGGAATGTCCCATGCATGACTAGCCTTTGCGTTAACCAATATCACGTAGAAACTTTCAACAACAACAATTTTCATCAAACTTAATGTTATCGATTATAATTACTAAGTAAACATTCTATGAGCGGTACTGCTTACGAATAAAGTTATTATTATTATTAAGTAAACAGAAATAATCAGTTTTATTATTTTTAAGATTTCAGCTGTTATGCAGCTGTAATTGAATGCTTAAGATATGCACGCCATGAATATAGTTTAACATATAAATACATTTTATATTAATTTTCTAAATTATAAAAAATGAACTTATCTGTTATTTTAGACTTATCTAAATATACCATTCCTTGGATAAACTATAAAATTACTGTCTCTTGAAATTTAACTTACAATAAATTATAAACAATATCTTCTTTTACCTTACTGCAAAAGTTAAGTACGAATGTTACCTGATCATGTGACACAATTTGTACTTTTGCGTTAACCAATAAATTGATCAATAGATGAAAAACATTCCAAAAGTTTGCGTTAACCAATTAATTGATCAATAGATGAATAACATACCAAAAATTTGCGTTAACCAATTTGTCGAAAAAAAATCACAGTAACTAAATGTTCTATTGATTAAACAATAGGTTATCTTTATTTTCTTTACTATTCCACATTAAAAAATCAGTAATTCATCAATCATTTTATCTTAATGATATTAGCAGTTATCCAGCTTTTCTTGAATTGTAAAATATGTGCAATTATAGTTCATGTTCATAATTCATTTAAGAAATATATATCTGCATATCAAATTTCAAAAATATTAACAATGCATTCATCAGTTATATGACAAAGAGAACTCAATATAAAACCATACTCAAATTTACTTACATATAAAGTTAAGAACAAAAATTTCCTTTAACATTCGTATTCAAGTAAAGTAATAGTTTATGATCGATCGTGTTATATACATTTCAACACTTTGCGTTAACCAACTAAATGTTTAACAAAATCTTAACACCATAACAAAAGTTTGCGTTAACCAATATCTCATAGATGGACAAATAACTACACGTGTTATATATACTAGTTAACAAAAGAAACGATACAAACTTAATTTTTAAACATTTTTTATATTTTTCAATTTAAAGTTTCTGTAATAGTTTATTACCGATTCACATGAGACTCGGTCTAATTAGTCATACGTGGCACGTCACAATGGGATAAATCTGTTAAGGGATTCTCATTGGTAAATATTAGCTTATTTTGTATGAAGCAAAGGCTTTCTATACGTTTGATTGGTTAATTTTGGGGTGCATCTATTATATGTATTTAACGCCAAAATGCATCTGTTTTTTTCTTTTTTTCAATAGACCCCATGAGAAGTCGCAACGTTAAGACCGCGTGGTACATCTTATACACTGGCGCAAACTACATTGAATGTGGAAAATACGGCCCGAGGAATACTTGGTCGTTACAACAACAGAATTTCGTCGAAGACTCAGAGCGCCTGGACTGCGTCCAAGACGTACCCGGAAAGGGCCGCTCATTAAACAACTTCGTAGGGCCGCAAAACTTGAATGGGCTCGTGCAAGACGACGTTGGAGGTTATACACCTGGTAGCATATCCTGTTTACAGATAAGTCCCGATTTGCACTCCGTTTTCGTGATGGACGCATGAGCGTATACCGTAGGCAAGGTAAACGTTGATCGGACACTTGTGTCATGGAAACGGATCGTGTGATGGTGTCGGGGGATATTTCACAACGGACGCACACAGTTT